GCCCAGCAATTTTACTGTCATGAAAGCAATGCAGCAGTTCCACTTGGAGCTCAGGAGGAACGAAGTATCGATCCCCAGGAACAGGTTTGGGAGCTAGATGTTGTACTTTCTTGATCTCAGCAAGCAACGGTGAGTGTATCCTGACACAAGTGTTGGCAATAATATTACACTTAGGAACGATAGAAGACAAAGGTGCTTCAGACACCGTAGAGGGTTCATGTTGACGGGACAATGCATCTGCCTTAGAGTTCTTAGAACCAGGTCTATAAGTGAGCACGTAATTGAAATGTGTCAGAAACAAGGACCAACGAGCTTGCCTGGTGGACAAGCGCTTGGCCTCCCCTATGTAGGACAAATTCTTGTGATCAGTCAAAATAGTAACCGGGTATAATGTCCCCTCCAACAAATGTCTCCATTCCTTTAAAGCCATAATGACCGCTAACAGTTCCCTATCACCAATGTCATATCTACTTTCAGGCCCAGATAATTTCTTGAAAAAAAAACCACAAGGATGTAACGGTTTATCCAAACCTAGCCTTTGGGACAAGATAGCGCCTATACCTGTCTCCGAGGCGTCAACCTCGAGTAAAAAAGGCAAAGATGTGTCAGGATGAACTAATATCGGTGCTGAGGCAAAATGTTCCTTGAGAGTTTTGAAAGCAGAGAGGGCCTCTGTGGACCAAGTCTTGGTATCAGCCCCCTGTCTAGTCATATTAGTAATAGGAGCAATAATAGAAGAGTAACCTTTAATGAAGCGCCTATAATAATTGGAAAATCCGATAAATCTCTGAATGGCCTTGAGTCCCCTGGGCAATGGCCAATCTAAAATCGATTGGAGTTTAATGGGGTCCATCCTAAATCCGTTTCCAGAAATAACGTAGCCAAGAAAGTTTATCTGAGATTGGTCGAAGCTACACTTTTCCAATTTGCAGTACAATCCATGTTGTAACAGTTTGCGCAGTACCCTTCTGACTTGTCTGTGGTGAGTCTCAATCTCTCTAGAGTGTATTAGTATATTATCCAAATATACTATAACGCATTCATGCTGAAATTCCCTAAGAACCTCATTAATAAGGTCCTGGAATACTGCAGGTGCATTGCAAAGCCCGAAGGGCATTACCGTGTATTCATAGTGGCCATAACGGTTATTGAAAGCTGTTTTCCATTCGTCTCCCTGCTGAATTCTCACCAAGTTATAAGCTCCCCTCAAATCTAACTTGGTAAAAATCTTGGAGCCTTTCAGTCGATCAAAGAGCTCAGTAATTAAAGGAATAGGATAAGCATTTCTAACAGTTATCTTATTCAAGCCCCGATAATCAATGCAAGGCCGTAGAGTGCCGTCTTTTTATCTACAAAAAAGAAACCGGCCCCGGCCGGAGAAGATGATCTCCTAATAAAACCTTTGTCTAGGTTTTCACGTATGTACTCCTCTAGGACTAAGTTTTCCTTAGTGGATAAAGGATATACCGTACTCCTCGGAGGCATAGTACCAGGTAGGAGTCTAATTTTACAGTCGAAAGACCTATGTGGAGGTAAAGTATCAGCCCTCTTTTTGTCAAAGACTGCCTTTAAATCCTGGTACTGTGATGGTATCTGTAAATCTGTAGGTTGGGAAGAGTTAACCGGGGCGCCAACCCTGCAAATTGGTGAGACTTTCTGCACACATCCTTTCTGGCAACCCTGACCCCAGGAGACTATCTCACCCAGTTCCCAGTCAATGATAGGGTTATGCTTCTTAAGCCAGGGATACCCCAAGACTATAGGAACTGAAGGAGATGATATCAGCATGAGGGATATTCTTTCCTCGTGAAGGATACCAGTGGTTAACTTAATTGGTATGGTTTCACGAAAAATCACAGGTTCAGATAATGGTCTACCATCTATGGCCTCAACGGCCAAGGGTGTATCCCTTAGCTGAGATGGGATAGAATGGTTAGTGCCAAAGGCTTGGTCAATAAAGCTTTCAGCTGCTCCGGAATCTATCAAAGCCATAGCATTAAGTACTCCCCTTTCCCAAGCTAAAGAAACAGGTATCAGAAGCCTATGATCTTTATAATCATAAATAGAGGACAAGATAGAAACACCCAAGGCCTGTCCTCTTGAGAAACTTAGGTGCGAGCGTTTCCCGGCCGGGTAGGGCAATTTAGGCGTAGGTGACCTCTAATTCCGCAATACATACAAAGACCCTCCCTTCTCCTGTACTGTCTTTCCTCCTCTGAGAGTCGAGTATGACCTATTTGCATAGGTTCTGGGAGAGCTAAAGTAGTAGAATCAGAAGTCTGAAATGAGGGAGCTAGTCTTATGGAGGATCTGCGGGTTCTATCCCGAATATTCTGCCTCTGTCTCATACGTTCATCTATTCGGGAAATAAATGAAATCAGATCCTCCAAATTTTCAGGAAGATCTCTTGTGGCCACCTCATCTAAAATCTCATCAGATAACCCGTTCATAAATACGTCCATATAAGCCTGTTCATTCCACTTGACCTCTGCCGCCAAGGATCTGAACTCCAAAGCATAATCCACTAGGGTTCGGTTATACTGTCTAAGACGTAACAGTAGTCTAGCTGCATTGGCCTTTCTTCCTGGAGGGTCAAAAGCTCTCCTAAATGCAGCGACAAAAGCATTATAATTATAAACTAACGGGTTATCATTTTCCCACAGGGGGTTAGCCCATCTAAGTGCCTTGTCAATGAGCAAGGTAATTATAAATCCAACCTTTGCCCTGTCAGTAGGGTAGGCGTGGGGTTGTAATTCAAAATGAATACCAATCTGGTTTAAAAAACCTCGACAAGTGTCAGGAGCGCCGCCATAGCGTGACGGGGACGTAACACGGGAAGAAGTAGCCACTGTGGCTACCTCTAGGCCTGTACTTATAGGAGAGATAGATGGGGTACGCATCTCCTCTGAGTGACTACTAGGACGAGATAGCAATGCTTGCAGAGCTAGAGCCATCTGGTCCATTCTATGATCCATGGCCTCAAATCTAGAGTCAGGAGAACCGACCTGAGAGTTTGTACCTGCAGGATCCATTGGCCCTGTCGTAATGTCAGGATCGTGACAGGGATCCAACACGCAGAATACAAACAGGGGATAGGTACGTATACCGGACCTTAGAATGGCCGGACTAACGTAAGGAGAAAGCAAAAGAATAGTCAGAGACAAGCCGAGGTCGAGGGAACGAGAGATCAGGTAAGCGAGAGACAAGCCGAGTCAAAAGGACAAGAGAGGAAAGCAGGGTCAAAATACAAGCCGAGTCAGGAACCAAAAGACAATAGAGGTAATTGCACTGAGTGACCAGACTAGCTAGAACCACGACAGGGCAATGAATCATTCCACAGAACCCTTTTTATACCTTGGCTCTTTAACTGTTGGCTCCGCCCCCAACGGGTCCTGATTGGTTGTTCGGCACTTGGTTGCCGTGATTGACGGGTCGGAACGTGATTGCCGTCATGACGTCGGCTACTGAGCGCCGTGTCATAAAAGGAGGCGGAGCTATCGCGGCCGGCGTGTAAACGACCGGGAGGAGTGCAAGGATCGGGTGAGTCAGCCCCCCTGGGAGGATGGACGTCTAGGTGTCTAACCTCCTCCGAGGTAGACACCAAAGGTACCCTGACACTATCTCATAACAGGATTATCGGAGGGATTTCACACAGGGTTGATACATTTACCTACAGGCACACTGGAATGTGACAACTTACTTTCCACACGAGATGACCCACAGCTGGTACATAAACTTATCACAACCGAGGTAAAACAAGGCTTTTTGCTGGGTCCTTTCCTCTCACCACCCTTCACTTCTTGGAGAACCAATGCCATTGGGATTGTCACGGGGAAAAACTCACTTAAACCCAGGCTGATCATTGATTTATCCGCACCACATTCCTCCACGGTCCCTAGCCTAAATTCTCTCATACCATCTGAAGAGTTTTCAATACATTACGCCACTATCGACCATGCCATCGGGGCTATCATAAAAGCTGGCACAGGGGCATGGTTAAGTAAAACGGATGTAGTGAATGCCTTCAAATTACTTCCTATGCACCCTACACTTTGGCACCTTCACGGCATTAAATGGGAAGGGTTATACCAGTGGCGTACACATGACCCCTGGGGCCCCGGTGCGAAAATTGATCCGTGGGCCCCCCGCGCGCGCGCCGGACCGCAACACATGGCGGTGGGCACCTGGTCGCAGGGGTTACAGGGCTGCGACCCCTGCGACCACGTATGTACGCCAGTGCATGCAGATGCACACACACTTAAAGGACCACTCTAGGCACCCAGACCACTTCAGCTTAATGAAGTGGTCTGGGTGCCAGGTCCAGCTAGGGTTAACCCATTTTTTCATAAACATAGCAGTTTCAGAGAAACTGCTATGTTTATGAATGGGTTAAGCCTTCCCTATTTCCTCTAGTGGCTGTCTCATTGACAGCCGCTAGAGGCGCTTGCGTGCTTCTCACTGTGATTTTCACAGTGAGAGCACGCCAGCGTCCATAGGAAAGCATTATGAATGCTTTCCTATGTGACCGGCTGAATGCGCGACGCAGCTCTTGCCAGCTGCAGCATACAGCCGACGGGGAGGGAGAAGAGGAGGATCGAGGAGGAGCTCACCAGCTGGAAAAAGGTAAGTTTTACCCCTTTCCAGAGCTGGGAGGGGGTCCCTGAGGGTGGGGGCACCCTCAGGGCACTATAGTGCCAGGAAAACGAGTATGTTTTCCTGGCACTATAGTGGTCCTTTAAAGGACCACTACAGACACCCAGATCACATCAGCTCAATGAAGTTGTCTGGGTGTCAGGTCCTCTAGTTTTAACCCTGCAGCTGAAAACATAGCAGTTTCAGAGAAACTGCTATGTTTCACTGAGGGTTAATCCAGTTGTCTCACTGGCAGCCGCTAGAGGAGCACACTGAACGCCCATAGGAAAGCATTGAGTAATGCTTTCCTATGGGGTTTGAATGCGCGCAGTCGCATTCGAGCTGAGAGGCTGAGGGATCCCCAGCGCCAAAGGAGTCCGGCGCTGGAGAAAGGTAAGTGCTGAAGACACACACACTCTCACTTACAGACGCATACACACTAGCTAACAGACACACACATTTACTGACAGAGACACACTCAGCAACAGACATACATACACACTCACAAAACATACACTCTCATTGACAAACACACACTCACTAACAGACATCAAACAGACTCACTAACACACACACAGTCAGTAAGACACACACAGTAACACACTCACTGACACTCACTAGCAGACACACACACACACTAACACTCACTAGCAGACACACACACACACTAACACTCACTAACACTCACACACTAACACTCACTAGCAGACACACACACTAACACTCACACACACACTAACACTCACACACTAACACTCACTCTAACACTCACACACACTCAAACACTATTTTTTTTTTTTTTTAATTTAATCCCCCCAGCCTCCTTACCTTTTGGAGTGCTGAGGGGGATTATTCCCTGGGGTCCAGTGGGGCTCCTGGGCGGGTGGCCGGTCGGGCAGGCAGGCGGGCGCGCGAGGGAGCACTCAGTGCTTCCTCTTCAGCTCCCTCGCGCGCCGCGTAGGGATGCCGGAGCCGGAAGATGACGTCATCTTCCGGCTCCGGTATCAGTGCGGTGCGCGAGGGAGCTGAAGAGGAAGCACTGAGTGGGGTCATTAGGGCCAGCCTCAGTGGGGCCCTGGGGTGGCCGGCTCCTGGCCCTCCAGGGGAAGAGGCTGGCCCTGGGCGTACATACCGGGTCGCAGGGGCGGCCGGGCCCCCTGGTGGGCCGGGCCCGGTCGCAGCCGCGACCCCTGCGACCCTGGTATGTACGCCACTGGGTTATACTATTTCTTCACCCGTCTCACTTTTGGCTCTAAAAGCAGCCCGCGTATTTTCGACACATTTGCAGAGGCTTTATGTTGGTTGTTGCTAAATGTATGCAAATGTCCCTCAGTGATTCACTATTTAGACGATTTCCTCACAATTTAGAACAACACACGTCCACCCACAAGTTTAAAACACATGTTGGCATTATTTGAGTCACTTTCTGTCCCAGTCTCTCCACACAAGACCCTGGGGCCCGACACCCAGATGCAATTTTTGGGGATACAACTAGACACAGTACACATGCAGGCTAGCCTCCCTCATGAGAAAATTGAGCGTATCCTGGCAAGTATTAACCACTACCTACAGCAAGATTGTTGCACTAAAAAAGACCTACAATCATTGCTGGGATCGCTTAATTTTGCAATGAGAATCATTCCCCAGGGGAGATCATTTATTTCACATTTGCTATCACTATTTCCACAATTTACCTCAGACACATCTTACATTTCACTAGACAACCATGCAACATCCGATTTGCGCATGTAGAGAATTTTCCTCACTTCTTGGAATGGGCGTGCCATGTTTATACCATCTCACTCAGACACTTCACCTACAATATGGACAGACGCTGCAGCAAACACAGGGTTTGCAGCCATATGGGGAGACCAATGGCTCGGGGGGCCATGGCCAACTGAGGTCAAATCACTCACAAAATTCACAGAGACCTCAGCTTTATTCGAATTGTACCCCATCGTGGCTGCGGCCGTTACCTGGGGCCGCCAGTGGTCCGGTCACACGGTTTGGTGCTATTCTGATAATATGGCTACTTGCCATATTGCCAATAAAGGCCGGTCATCATCCCTGGTAATTATGAGGCTCTTGAGATGACTCACATGGGTAGCAGCCACTTGTCAATTCTTTCTAACATGTATTCATGTTCCAGGGTGCACAAACATCGGTGCTGATCACTTATCTCGATTTCGTTTTCAGGAATTCTTCACGACACTACCCACCGCCTCCAGACGGGCAACTCCAGCCCCACTTTTCACAGACATGATAATGGATTAAAAGATTTGTTAAATCACGCACGTCACATTTCTCACCTGGCACTTTCTCTAAACACTAGAAACACTTACAACAGAGCATTTCACATATTCAAAAAATTCATCACTGATTTTCACATTCACGATATGTTCACGATAGAATCAATATTGGGTTTCACTTCTTTTTGCCACATCAACCTTAAACTATCATTTAACACTATAAAACTATACCTCACGGGAATTCAACACCACATGCTTATTCAACAACCCAACGCCACAAGTTTCCTGTCCTCATATCAAATCAAGACAGTTCTTAGAGGCATTAAGAAATTAGATACACATGTCCCGGGAAACGACTACCTATAGATAACCATATATTTCATGCCCTAGTCAACTTGTTAGATTCCTCTCCTTTTGAGCCCAGGACAAACACGGTAATAAAGTCAGCCATATATCTTGCTTTTTATGGATTCCTCCGTCCCAACGAATTCACAACTAGGACTATCACGACCCCCGATTACCTAAGAACCATGGACTTAGCGAAACAGAACGACCATTACCTACTCATGCTAAAACACTCAAAAACCAGCACCATAGGTCATACCGTTACGATCCCCTTGTACCCTACTCATAACAAATGGTGCCCGGTACAACATTTTGACAATTATCTGCTATCACTCCACAAACAACCATTACAACCTTTGCTAGAACTGCACGGTAACGTTCTAACTACAGCAAAGTTTATGCTCTATGTAAGACTGCTGTTGACTAGACTCGGCTTGAACACTAGTCAATTTTCGGGTCATTCTTTTCGAATCGGGGCAGCATCTACAGCCTCTGCTGACCACATACCTCCTCACATCATCAAAACAATGGGACGCTGGAAATCTTCCGCTTATACTCTCTACATACCCAATCCTGTTAAATAATTAAGACTAGCTTTCTGTGACTTATCTAAATAAAGATTTTGGTCAACGTATTATGTCTTATGGTAATTTATTTTTGCCCACTTTTTACAGGCCTACGCCTCTGTCGGTTTCGGCACACCAAAACCGACTAATTCCAACTAATTGATATTCATGTTATTATATGCTATGTTTCCATATATGGCTATATTGCCACGACCACAAATTAAAAGGCTTGGCCCGTAGTTGTGGGAGGGGCTTGGTTTCCCTATAAAAGGGCTACCAATCCACTCTCACATTACCGTTAATGGTCTGGCGAGTCACCCCACCCACCACTCCCTCTATTACAAACACCCTCTAAGGTGGGCCCACTTTTTACAGGCCTACTCCTCTGTCGGTTTCGGCACACCACAACCGACTAATTCCAACTAATTGATATTCATGTTATTATATGCTATGTTTCCATATACGGCTATATTGCCACGACCACAAATATATATATATATATATATATGTGTGTGTGTATAAAATGTGTATCTGCATTTCTCTCTATCTTCTTAGCTATCATCTATCTATCTATCTATCTATTTATATATATCTATAATAGATCAGTATGCACAACACATTTCATAAGTGTGCACAATCAGTGGTTAACATTTATTGATATTAAGTAAAGTATTTTTCGTGTAAAACTTGCCAACTAATTTTGACTTAGAACATAATGAAATAAGTGAGAATCAGGTAAATAAAAAAAATAAAAATGTTAAAAAAATCAAACAGTTTTCATGCTCTTTATTTTCAACCAGATAATGAGCAACTAATAGTAATGCAAAAGTGCAAACAGGAGCCTGGATGGAGGAAGCAGTTTTATATTGTCCATAATATACCATATATATAACATACAAAATACAGAATCCACTGCACTCATTCATTAAACAGCAATTGCATGTCTCCCAGAATGTAATAGTTTAATTTAAAAATTCCTCACATAGGCAAAAACTAATGGGGGAGGAACCATTTCCCAAGTAAGTGGATTAATATTATAAGAGCAAACCTTGGGCCTGGATTCTGTATTTTGTATATTGTATAAATTGGCCCCAGCAGCACGCTTGCAATTATGCATGTTCAGGTGAGTGCAGCCCTCTTAGTTTTATATATATATATATATATATATATATATATATTTGTGTACGGCACAAGGAATGTATGGTTATGATATAATGAAAGTTTAATAAGAACAAAGTCGGGACGTGAGGTTAGACTTTTAAAAAGAGGGGAACTTCCGAGATCGTCGACGACAGGTAAGCAGGGGCTTACCTGTGGGTTTAAATAGGACTAATAGTCCCTCCTACAATTACAGGCCAAGCCTTCCATTTGTGTACGGCATATTTAGAGTAACGTATGGTTATGATATAATGAAAGTTTAATAAGAACAAAGTCGGTTAAGGTATGCCTAAACTGATGTGAGGTTAGACCTGTAAAAAGAGGGCAAAAATTTAAGAAAACGATTTCTTTTGTCAGACATATTTTATTTAGCAAGATATTATTTAGACATTTCATGGAAAGCTAATCTGATTTATTTTTCTGGATTAGGGATGTACCTGTTGTATGCTGAAGAGTTCCAACATCCCATGTTTTTTATATGTGTTGATACATGATTACCGGAACCTGCTGTGGCCGCCCTAATACGGAATGAATGGCCAGAGAATGAATGCGGATTGTGCCCCAGCCTGAGTAACAATGTGCGTATGTATAGCATGAACTGTTTGGTGATTAGGGGTTTCCATTGAATGGCTAATAGTGGGGACTCAGGGTCAGTTGTAAGCTGTGTCTGGATTAGATTATCCAATATGTAAATTGGACACCACTTGGTAGAGGTAGGGTAATATTTAATCTCTACTGGGGGGCCAGTCTGGCTCGTTTTTGTAGGAGAGATTGACAAAATATAGTGGTCTTTTGTTTTAGTTAGGTGTTTTCTCTTAAGGCATGACTTAAAGTCGGATGCCTTCTCCACAGAAAATTCATTAGGTCTCAGGAAACCGTAAAAGGCTATGTAGGCTGCAGATTTGATTATCAGATTAATGACATACTCAAAGGGGGTCTTGTTTAGTAGATCGGAGATGTTCCTAGATAGGTTAGTATCTATTGGAAGTCTTTTAATGGGCTTATGAACTGTTAGTCTCTGAACACCTCTAAGGACACTTTTGACTGGGTAAGATGCTAGGAATGGAGCTTTGTTTGGATAAATAGTTAACATGTAATGTTGTATGCCTGTTAAGTGAAGTTTGATTGTATTGTATGCTAATTTTAGAGATATGTGGCAAAAAGTTGTGAATGCGACCATGGTTTCTATGGAAAAAACATTTATTACACAGTAATCACAAACAAATTTTTTGAACAAATCATATGCTCTGGTATAGACTTTCTTGGTATTGAGTGACAAACCAGCCTGTGCGAGCGACCTACTGTGATTTAGCAGGGTATTTAGAGCATTACTAGGTCTGTGAACTTTGGAGGTTCTTTGGGTTGTAAGTTTGCTGACGGATGGACTCTGAAAAATTCCTGCAAATTAGAACGTGAGAGTGCGTCAGCTGCATTATTCTGAATGCCTGGAACGTGAATACAATTAAGACAGAACTGAAGATTTGCTGCCAACCAATGTCTGTAATTGTAGTATCTTTATTAATATAGGAGGGAAAAACGTCATGTAATTGCTAGCTTAACTTATATACTTGCATAACTGGCATAGGCCGAAGAACCAAATGAAAATACATGAAATGCATTAGGGGAATATGGCTGTATATGTGCCGAGATGCATAAGACAGAAATAAAAGCTGGAGCATAAATACAGTCTCCTAATTATCCTATTTAGCATTATTTATAGTACTATGCAAGATACACTAGCTACAGCTTTAAGGGAATGAACCTGCAGGATTTTAGCCAAACAGGCTTATAATAATAGTAATTTAGTGATTAAGCGAACGCAAAAGCCTTTAATATGTATACAGTATATTAGAGGTATTTATGTGTCGTTCGTCTAATTCTGTACGAATTACAATGTAAGTGTGGTAAAAGGAGTTGATTGCAATGACCAGGGAAAACAGACGAATGTTGAAACGAAGTGCAGCAATAATGAATGAAATGTTTTTTTAACATGACATTTTAAACTAACAGAACTATTAAATGATATTGTATGAATGAAATTGTGAGCGTGGAAACAGACGAAAGTTTACACGAAATGCAGGTCTATACGAAATGCAGCAGTATTTGAAACAAATGGATTTATATGACTGTTTCAGATGAAGGGAATTTAATTGATATTGTACGAATGAAACTGTGAGCATGGAAACAGGTGAAAGTTTATACAAAAAGCAAGTTTATACGAAATGTAGCAGTATTTGAACGAACGGTTTTACATGACCGTTTCAGACAAACAGAATTTAATTGATATTGTACGAATGGAACTGTGAGCGTGGAAACAGACAAAAGTTTATACGAAATGTAAGTTTACACGAAATGCAGCAGTATTTGAATGAACGGTTTTGCATGACAGTTTCAGACGAACTGAATTTTAGACGAACGTGTGTGATTTAACGTATTGAACATAGTAGCGTTCGTGCAATTGAGTATAACTTACAGG